CTGCCGCAGCACCTCACCGGTTTGCACGTGGCCTGCTGCAGGACCAGGGCTTCCAGCCCTCTCCCTGCAGCTGGGCAGCCACTGTGAGAAAAGCCGCCGCAAGCCAGGCAAAGGATTTGCACAGTGAATGCAAATATGTAGGTACCAACTCCAAGCCAGTGCCTGTGTGAGCAAAGCCCCAGCACCAGGATGGGGAGGGAGAACCCCCGCAGAGCCCCGGCTCCCAGGCACCTCCGCCGCAGGCACAAGCATCAGCTGCATGCGGGCAAGGAGAAAGTGCTGGAAGTTGAACTCCCCTGATGTGGCAGACCAGGGGTTTTGAGCAAAGGGCAAGAGGATTAAAGCAAGACATCAAGACCCCATGCCAGCCCGGGCTAGCAAAACACCTGAGGCACAGAGAACAAACATTGGGTTTTTAAGTGCAAATTATTTCACCCCAGCAATGGGGTGGGAGGTTAAAAACAACCAGAAAAAGACTAAAACACACCTAGAAAATATAGGAAAAAATAGGAGGAAGATCTGTAGGCTTGATTTGGCCAGCTCTTACAGCAGCCAATGAGTTCAGCACCCAGTGAAGAGACGACCGAGGGTAACCTGGGGTGGCACCAGAGGTGCCTGGTAGCCGAATGAGGGTGCTCTGCTCCTGGAGCCAGGGCTGAGCCGATGCCGCAGAGCAATGGTAGGAAGTGCTGTACTGCAGAGGCTGTCAACTTTTGGAGGAAATATAAAACTAAAGATGTGACCACTCTGGGACAGTAAATCTCTTTCATGAAGCCTTTCCCACAATTAAGAGTGTTAGTCCCAGTGCTCTGGCCACAGTCCAGTTCAAGAAATTACAGTCGTCTTCCCTGCGCTCCCTCCTCCCGCACTCGGGTGAGATGCTGGACTCTCTTCACTTCTTGTCTTAAATGGGCACACAACAAGACCGCGGCTGTCGCGCTGCCGCACCTGAGCCTGGCAAGTCCCAGCTCTGGGCATTTCAGCAAGCACCCCTACACTTTGGGTGGGCAGCACCCCCGGGACTCTGAGCACTGTGCTCAAGCCAGACTCGCAGTCACCCCCAAACTGGGCTGGTACAAAAGCTAAGTCCTCCCTCTCCAAAAAAGCCAAAGCTTAAAAGGCTTTCGTGATGCTTTCGTGAAGCCCTCCACAGCCCTGATGTATTTCAGAGATCGGCTCCAAGTGCTGGAGCAGTGCTCTGTGGTGGTCATGGCCAGGCTTGGTACCAGGGCCTCAGCCCTTCCCACTGCCAGCGGCGGCTCTTCCTGCAGGCTACAAGTTCACCATAAAACATTAAACACCCAAAAGAGAGTAAAAATGTTTCTTGCACGTGAGCTGTGGCAGGGACAGCCATCCGCTCACTCAAGCTGAGCACTGCAGCCACAGCTCCATCAAACATCTCGTATTGCTACAGACGTGCACCACGTGCCCGCTGGCTCACACCCAGTTTACATAAAGCCACGGTGCTTTGACGTACCGCAACAATGCTCAGCCCCAGCACAGCCTGCGAAGCTGCCCACTGTGCAGGTAAGAGGAACAGGACACCCAAACTCAAGGGTCGTTTCCCCACGGTTCCAGCTCAGCTACCGTGGGCGTTGTCATCTCACCATTAAATTACACAAAACTCTCCCGGACCTGAAAGTTCATTCCCTGGCCAAGCTTGTCAGCCTCATTTCAAGGAGGCTTCTCCAGCCCAACAACCTTGCAGGGAAGGACAAGCGTCCAGGTGGGTGCTTGTTCAAGACTCCTGAACATACACCAGCACTCCAACTCCCCGCCCTGCCAGCAAAGGCTCTTAAGAGCTTAATTGTAGGACAAAAGAGGAAAGCACCATAAATCAGGAGAAACTTTCTCTTTGTGCCTTTTCACCACTTTCCTCGGGAGGCAGGGAGCCTCAGCCTTCGCTGAGCTGGGAGCTCGGAGCCAGTGGTCAGACCCCAGGCTAACCCCAGCTGCCCACCCCACAGAAGATAGTCAAGGTGAGGGTACAATCAAAGGGCAGAGCACTCATGAAATGGAGGTGCTTAGACAGAAACTTGTGGAGCGTTTTGAGTGATGGGCAGTAACGAAACTAGCTCTCCACACCCACAGCAAGGTCTCTTGCCCACAGCACGAAGAGTCCGAGCCTACCCTGGCACTGAGAGAAAAATACTTTGTAGAAGATACGCTGAAAGCGGGGTTGGAGCAACAAATCTGCCCTGGAGCCCACAGGGCGTCATTACCTCTGAGCTGAGCAATGGTCTGTGCTGCTGATTACCAGCATATGCACGTATTACCAACATATGCACGATCCATACCATCGTATGCACGATGCATTAAGACACAAACTTCACGGAAAGAGATGTTCTTGGAGGCTGGAGTGACACTTAGGTGATTCCTGTCCCTGCAGTTGAACAGCACTAGTATAACCTGGGGACACCAGCTGCTACAGACCAACACGAGCAGGCAGAGAGATCCTGACTGCCCAGGTCAGGGCAAACCCTGTAATTCCCAGATCTGTTTCCCCAGATTCACAGCGGGTTCAGGAGAAGCAGAACGACAGCATGAGGTCCACAGGCAATCCCGCATCCTATCCCCACAGGCAGTCACCAAAAGCTTGGTGCCAGAGACATTTTCAGGTGGCATCGATGGCATCCCATCAGCTAAAGCTGCCACAAACACCGCACTCCACTTCCTCCCCTGAAACCCCAAATCAGGCTGTAATCAGATAACCCTCCTGTACTCACACCCAGCCACGCCACGCAGCCGGGGCGCTGTGTGGAGGTGGTCAGGCAGACTATGGACAGAAATCACACAGAAAAGAAGCTGCCATGAAGTCACGGGCCCCGAGGTGGTCAGAGGTGTGGCTCCTCTGTGCCACCAGCAGCCGCAGCAGCGACGCTCTGCAGGAAATCATCCAGCACACCACCAGGTTGTGCACCAACAACCACAACACATTCCCCCTCCGCCTTCTCCCCTTGCAATCAGGCAAACGTCCCTGTTAATGCCGGCATCAGTTAAACAGCTCCTGTCACCACATCACCTCTCAGCTCTCGCCTGCGCAGCCACCCTGTGAACCAGATCATGCAGCTCAAAGGGGTTAGAAATGTCACCTTTCAGCTGTGCCATCGCCATCAAAGGTGCTGTGTGGGGGGAGAGGAGGGTGGGTAAAGCTGGCACCGCTACCTCAATAACTGCTTGTTAAACCACAGCTTAAGGTCAGGGCTTCAGGACTCGCAGCGTTTGCAGCCAAGACTGACTCAGGGTAACACCGTACCCTCGCCGCATGCTGCACCACCACTCGCTGAACCGACACATGGCCCATGGAGCCATGCTGCAGTCACAGCAGGGAGCTGAGCTGGCCTAAAAACCCACCTTCTGGGAGCTTTCTCAAGCTGGATCTGTTTCTCAGTCACTTGTAGCCCCACATCAGCTATGCCAGCAAAACTCTGAGGTACGTGCAACGCTGCACAG